ATCACATGCTAATAATACTATGGTGTGTATGGGTGCGTCGTGTCATGCTGCTGGGGATTGGCTGTTGACTGCGGCTTTAAGAGGAACTTCTCCTGCATACCTGCGTCTCCTCCTTAGTGATGCAGTTTGCATAGTTCACATATATCCTCCCACCCTGAACACTGGGTCCTTGGCTCCTCTCCAGAAATGATTCAAGCTGAAGTTTAACCTGCTTATGTTTCTTCCTTTCTCGGTTCCTCCCTCCACCCTCATCAACATGCTAATGAAATTTTTATATCAAACGTTTCCATTTTTATTAAGTACCTTATTTTAGACTCTGATGTCATCACCGGGTCTCTGTGCTTTCCTATGCAGCGCAGGCAGATTATGTGAGTTTTTTTTAACTTACCAAACATGCCCCGGAGATGCTGCAAGCAGGAGTTTTTAAACCGCTCAGCAAGCGCAACGCAACGACTCAACCTGAATACACCTATCCCATGTTGCAGCAAGATAAACGTTCAAATCTGTCTGCAGTTTGCAAATTGTGCAATTTTGTTCCTTCGATAAGTTCTTTCCTAGAAAATTGCCTAATTTCCCAAAGACATTGTAACCACTAGCTGTGCAGGAAACCTCAATGTTCACTTCTTAAATCACGTTCTTGTTTTTAGGTGTTTTTTTTTTTGCCAGCTGGATGTATAGTAAGGACGCTGTCAGGGCATGCTGGTACTTGCAGTCCCTCAGCATCTGGAGGAGGGTTGGGTAATACAGATGTTTCCTGATGGCAGTGATGAGGTGTGGTGGTGTCACAGATTGGCCCTCAGCCAGTGGTTCTTTAAACCCCCGACGTAATGCCAAGTCAGCAGGTAATCCGTCCAAAAGTCGGCACTCCACTGACTAATGGGAATCAGCAGAAAAATTCTATGTAGCCTTCCAGTAGCTACCTCCAGTCCTGTAATTCGCAGTCCCAACGCCCCCCCCTTTAATACATCCAATGGCTCCAGTGATGAAGAATCACATTGTATTCCTGTAATCAGACCAACAGATTTCTGATATCTATATTAGCACAGTGGCTCAATGGTTAGCACTTCCGCCTGGCTGTACTCGGGTCGTCGGTTCAAATCCCGACCACAGCACCACCTGCCTGGAGTATGCATGTTGTCCCTGTGCCTGTGTGGGTTTCCTCCGTGTACTCTGGTTTCCTCCCACACTCCAAAGACATGCTGGTAGGTTAATTGGCTCCTGTCTAAATTGTCCCTAGTATGTGTATGTATGAATGTGAGTTAGGGACCTTAGATTGTACACCCCTTGAGGGTTAGGGACTGATGTGAATGTACAATATATATATAAAGCGCTGCGTAAATTGATGGCGCTATATAAGTACCTGAAATAAATAAATTATTATTATTATTATACAGTATTTATAAAGTGCCAATAGTTCGCTCAGCGCTGTACATTACAAAGGGGGACAGAACATGTGACAGAACAATAACAATGCAATGCAAAACATGAGGGGATTGAGGGCCCTGATCCTTGGAGCTTACAATCTAGGAGGGAGGGGGTGGTGGCACAGGAGGAGATAGCTGTGGGGGATGGAGTGGTAGGAAGAGTGGAGGAGGTCGGCAAGTTAGCAGGGGGTGGGGTAGGCTTCCCTGAAGAGATGGGTTTTCAGGGTGCGCCTAAAGGAGAGGAGAGTAGGTGATAATCTGATGGGTTGGGGTAGGAAGTTCCAGAGGATGGGTGACACCCTGGAGAAGTCCTGGAGGCGGGCATGGGAGGAGGAGACCAGGGAACTAGAGAGAAGGAGGTCTTGTGAGGAGCGGAGTGTGCGTGTTGGGCGGTACTTGGATATTAGGTCAGTGATGTAGTTCGGGGCAGTATGGTGGACAGCTTTGTACGTCCGTGTTAGGATTTTGAATTTGATCCGTTGCACAATCGGAAGCCAGTGGAGGGATTGGCAGAGGGGGGTGGCGGAGACGGAGCGGTTGGAAAGGTGAATGAGTCTGGCAGCCGTATTCAGGATGGACTGAAGCGGGGATAGCCAGCGGCGAGGCAGGCCATAAATAAATGATAAATAAAATCTATCACACTAATACTATTGGGCCTCGCGCACACAAGACATTGTACTGTCGCTCCTAGACGCCTTTCCTCCTGGCAGCAGCGTTTTGGCAGACAAATCGCTGGACACTTGGAAATGCATTCAGCTCATTTAGACATGTCAACTGCTTGGGTGTTAATTCATTTCTTGGCAAGAATAATCATTTTAACCATTGAGATGAATACATTCCTGGCATTTAGATGCCCTTACATGCATTTAGGCATTTAGTGTTTTTTTTCTGGCAAAACGCTGCTTCTCCTGGACGCACTGACTGGGGGGATTTTTTCCTGCCTCTAAATGCTGCCAAGAGGCAGAGGAACAGAAAAGTTAAGCGCCCCTAGGAACGGCAGCAAAAAAATGTCCAGTGCATGAGGCCTTCTAATACAGTTATTTTAAAGTGTTACTAAACCCACAACAGTACAATCAGTCTGTAGATGCAGTAAAGCATGCTTGTTATACTCACTGTGGAACCTAAGGGGTTAATTCTCTGCATTGAAAAGGCTGTTTGATCCTGTCTTCTCTGCCTCTCCTCTTGTTGAAATGACCACCTGATACAGACTGAATCCGTAGTCACGTGCAATTGCTCAGTTTGGTGTGTATTGCTAGAGAGGCTTTTTTTTTTTTTGCTTGGGAGGGTGCATGTGATCAGCACAGGGCCAATCAGCACTGTCGAGACAGAGGGTCAGGGGTTTCACATCCTCCTAGAGCAGAAAGAAAACTCCTCCTACAAACATTAACCAGTGCTCTGCTGGACACTGATAGAAGTCACAAGACTGCTATATACTGCTGATGAGAAAAGGTATTTAGCAGTTTATATTTACTAAAATAATTGCATTTCCATGTTATGTGTACTGTGGGAGACCGGATATAGTGAATGCAGGGTACGGGGAGACCGGATATATAGTGAATGCAGGGTCTGGGGAGACCGATATAGTGACTGCAGGGTCCAGGGAGACCGGATATAGTGAATGCAGGGTTCGGGGAGACCGGATATAGTGAATGCAGGGTCCGGGGAGACCGGATATAGTGAATGCAGGGTTCGGGGAGACCGATATAGTGAATGCAGGGTCTGGGGAGACCGGATATAGTGACTGCAGGGTCCGGGGAGAGCGATATAGTGAATTCGGGGTTCGGGGAGACCAGATATATTGAATGCGGGGTTCGGGAGACCAGATATATTGAATGCGGGGTTCGGGGAGACCAGATATATTGAATGCGGTGTCCGGGGAGACCAAATATATTGAATGCGGGGTTCGGGGAGACCAGATATATTGAATGCAGGGTCCGGGGAGACCAAATATATTGAATGCAGGGTCCGGGAGACCAAATATACAGTCATGGCCGAAATTGTTGGCACCCTTGATATTTTTCCTGAAAATCAAGTATTTCACACACAAAAAAAGGTATTGCATTAACACATGTTTTGCTATACACATGTTTTATTCCCTTTGTATGTATTTGGAACAAATATAAAAACAGAGGCAGAAAAGCAAATATGACATAATGTCACACAAAACCCCAAAAATGGGCTGGACAAAAGTATTGGCACCCTTAACTTAATATTTGGTTGCACACCCTTTGGAAAACATAACTGAAATCAGTCGCTTCCTATAACCATCAATAAGCTTCTGACACCTCTCACCCGGAATTTTGGACCACTCTTCCTTTGCAAACAGCTCCAGGTCTCTCTTATTGGAAGGACACCTTTTCCCAACAGCAATTTTAAGATCTCTCCACAGGTGTTCAATGGGATTTAGATCTGGGCTCATTGCTGGCCACTTCAGAACTCTCCAGCGCTTCTTTGCCATCCATTTCTGAGTGCTTTTTGACGTATGTTTGGGGTCATTGTCCTGCTGGAAGACCCAGGATCTTGGACGCAAACCCAGCTTTCTGACACTGGGCCCTACAGTGCGACCCAAAATCCTTTGGTAATCCTCAGATTTCATGATGCCTTGCACACAGTCAAGGCACCCAGTGCCAGAGGCAGCAGCAAACAACCCCAAAACATCATTGAACCTCCACCATATTTTACCGTAGGTACTGTGTTTTGTTCTTTGTAGGCCTCATTCCGTTTTCGGTAAACAGTAGAATGATGTGCTTTACCGAAAAGCTCTATCTTGGTCTCATCTGTCCACAAGACGTTTTCCCAGAAGGCTTTTGGCTTACTCAAGTACATTTTGGCAAACTGTAGTCTTGCTTTTTTATGTCTCTGTGTCAGCAGTGGGGTCCTCCTGGGTCTCCTGCCATAGCGTTTCATTTCATTTAAATGTCGACGGATAGTTCGCGCTGACACTGATGCTCCCTGAGCCTGCAGGACAGCTTGAATGTCTTTGGAACATGTTTGGGGCTGCTTATCCACCATCCGGACTATTCTGCGTTGCAATCTTTCATCAATTTTCCTCATCCGTCCACGACCAGGGAGATTAGCTACAGTGCCATGGGTTGCAAACTTCTTGATAATGTTGCGCACTGTGGACAAAGGCAAATCTAGTTCTCTGGAGATGGACTTGTAACCTTGAGATTGTTGATATTTTGCCACAATTTTGGTTCTCAGGTCCTCAGACAGTTCTCGTCTCCTCTTTCTGTTGTCCATGCTTAGTGTGGCACAGACAGACACACAATGCAAAGGTTAAGTGAACGTCTCTCCTTTTTATCTGCTTTCAGGTGTGATTTCTATATTGCCCACACCTGTTACTTGCCCCAGGTGAGTTTACAGGAGCATCACATGCTTGTAACATTCTTATTTATCCGCAGTTGTGAAAGGGTGCCAATACTTTTGTCCAGCCCATTTTTGGAGGTTTGTGTGACATTATGTCGAATTTGCTTTCTTTCCTCCCTTTTTTTGTTTTGTCCCAATACACACAAAGGGAATAAACATGTGTATAGCAAAACATGTGTTAATGCAATACGTTTCGTGAGAGACCAAATATATTGAATGCAGGGTCCGGGAAGACCTGATATAGTGAATGCAGGGTCCGGGGAGACCGGATATAGTGAATGCAGGGTCCGGGGAGACCAGATATAGTGAATGCAGGGTCCGGGGAGACCAGATATAGTGAATGCAGGGTCCGGGGAGACAGATATAGTGAATGCAGGGTCCGGGGAGACCAGAATGCAGGCTCCTGGGATTTAGTAACACTTTAAAGGGAAATTGCTCAGTATATTGTGTTCTTAAAGGTTCTTCCACACAGTACTGATGTATGACGATCAGATTGCTGGCTGAACGTTCCTGAGTAAAAACACAAGGATGGGCCGTATAGTACATATACAGTGGGGATCGAAAGTTTGGGCACCCCAGCTAAAAATTTGTATTAATGTGCATAAAGAAGCCAAGGAAAGATGGAAAAATCTCCAAAAGGCATCAAATTACAGATTAGACATTCTTATAATATGTCAACAAAAGTTAGATTTTATTTCCTCATTTACACTTTCAAAATAACAGAAAACAAAAAAATGGCGTCTGCAAAAGTTTGGGCACCCTGCAGAGTTAATATCTTGTACTGCCCCTTTGGCAAGTATCACAGCTTGTAAACGCTTTTTGTAGCCAGCCAAGAGTCTTTCAGTTCTTGTTTGAGGTATCTTTGCCCATTCTTCCTTACAAAAGTCTTCCAGTTCTTTGAGATTTCTGGGCTGTCTGTCACGCACTGCTCTTTTAAGGTCTATCCATAGATTTTCAATGATGTTGAGGTCAGGAGATTGTGAAGGCCATGGCAAAACCTTCAGTTTACGCCTCTTGCTGTAATCCCCCGTGGATTTCGAGGTGTGCTTAGGATCATTATCCATTTGTAGAAGCCATCCTCTCTTTAACTTCAGCATTTTCACAGATGGCATCAAGTTACCATCCAAAATTTGCTGAAATTTTATTGAATCCATTTTTCCTTCTACTCGTGAGATGTTCCCTGTGCCATTGGCTGCAACACAACCCCAAACCATGATTGATCCAACCCCATGCTTAACAGTTGGACAGAGGTTCTTTTCATTAAATTCTGTGCCCCTTCTTCTTCAAACGTACCTTTGCTCATTCCGGCCAAAAAGTTCAATTTTAACCTCATCGGTCCTCAGAACATGTTTCCAAAATGCATCAGGCTTGTCTATATGTTCATTTGCAAAGTTCAAGCGATGATTTTTGTGGTGAGGACGTAGAAGAGGTTTTCTTCTGATGACTCTTCCATGAAGACCATATTTGTACAAGTATCTCTTTATAGTGGAATAGTGTACCACAACTCCAGTGTCTGCCAGATCTTTCTGGAGGGATTGTGCAGTCAAACGTGGGTTTTGAAGTGTTTTTCTCACAATCCTGCGAGCTGTCCTGTCTGATATTTTTCTTGGTCTTCCAGATCTTGCTTTAACTTCCACTGTTCCTGATGACTGCCATTTCTTAATTACATTCTGAACAGAGGATATTGACATCTGAAAACTCTTTGCTATCTTCTTATAGCTTTCTCCAGCTTTGTGAGCGTCAACTATTTTCAGTTTCAGTTTTCTAGACAACTGCTTAGAAGAACCCATGGTGCTGATTGTTGGGGCAAGGTCAGATGAGTCTGGGCATTTAAAACCTTTGAGATTGACATCACCTGGTCTTCCCAGACGATGATTGAGAACAATCCATGACACTGGCAGCTCTCAGCTTTGCAAAGGGGGCAGTGCATGCTATAAATTCTGCAGGGTGCCCAAACTTTTGCAGACGTCATTTTTTTGTTTTCTGTTATTTTGAAAGTGTAAATGATGGAAATAAAATCTAACTTTTGTTGACATATTATAAGAATGTCTAATCTGTAATTTGATGCCATTTGGAGATTTTTCCATCTTTCCTTGGCTTCTTTATGCACATTAATACAAACTTTTAGCTGGGGTGCCCAAACTTTTGATCCCCACTGTATATATAAGCTTGCATTCGTGCGCACATGTACACACACATTTAAAAATTCTTCTAGGTGATTTTTTGCCAAGGGAGTGTGATATATGTGTGTAAAATACTGACCAGCAGTACAGACTGTTTTATTTCAGTACTGATCTGTACTCAGGTTTTCGCACATTTCTGCACAGGCCCAATAAAACCAAATAGGCTTCAGTTAGATCTGTAAAACCGCTCTAAATGCCTAAAACGTAGAGTTTTGGGAGCTCGTGTTCAAGAGCCCTTAGATGTGAATGTGAATGGGTTGTTTTTGTTGAGCTCAGCTATAAAATGAACACAAGCATACTACTGTCATCATTGTCCAAGTATTATCCCGGGTTCACACATGTGTGGTGTGGTATATCGCATGTAATTCGCACAGGAACCACACCACATTCCTGTGCCAATCACATGCGATTTGTGTGCGGTGCGATTGGAGTCATACATTTTGTATGGCTCTAATCACACCGCACCCCCACCAAAAATGTGCAGGACCCTTTTTTGGTCCGCACTAGAATCCGATTCGTGCATGGGTATTCACACCTATGTGATCTGATTCTGCACATCACAACGCATTTTGCGCACCGCTTTCTGGGTTTTTTTTTTACTTAACATACACACTCGCAGCGGTTCGCATGAACGGGGTGCGATTCTGATGCAGTGGTGAATTCTCATAGAAAATGCTGCAAATTCCGCACCGCATCAGTGTGAACCAGGGCTTACAGCAGTGCTACAGCAATTTGTTTGTTAATAGCCAGAGACCCACCCACCTGACGATCCTGTGTGGTACCTACCTACCTGTCGATGGGTATAATCTTGGCTCTTCATGCAGATTCCCGTATTGCCAGCCCACCTTTCCAGGCCTGCAGAGTAAAAAAAGATGTTATGAATAATGCTGTGTCATCCAGGTGCTGTAGCAGAAATCATTTGGAGGATCCTGGGTGGGAATACTTTTGCAGCAGCTATTTTTCTGCGGCATGCTCCTGTTCAGTATGGCAGAGCTCCCTGCGGTGACCGTGTGATGATGGTTAGCTGTCTCAGCATTGTCATGGCACACAGGCAGAATGTGTTGGATTATCAGCAGATCCAGATGGCCTGGGAATTAGAGCCGTCACTGTGTGTGTGTGTATAGGTACGCACGTGCGACTGTTAATAATTACAGACAGAAAGCCATGTCAGACTTTTCACCCTCGTTATTATGTAATGAGGCAGAAGTTAGAGCAATGAAGAATGCAGTCTTTTGTAATAGTTGTCTATGAGGCCCTGTATTCTTGCAGGTGGTATAGCTGCACAATTGTATTGTCAAAATGCCTCCAGGTCATGGAAAGTCTTTGGTCGTCATGCATGAACTGCACTTTGGGATCTCCCCAGAGCGGCTTGATGATAATAAAGCGGAGCTCCACCCAAAAGGGGAAGTTCCGCTTTAAGGACTGCTCCCCGCTCCCCATTAAGGATTGGCACCTTTGGGGGACTGGGGGGGAGTGGGTACCCGAATTTGACAGGTACCCGCTCCCACTTCCAGTCCGATCGCCTAGGCGATTGGAAGCGGAAGGTGCCCTCTCTCCTTCCCTCCCTGTAGTCTTTTGGGACACGTGACAGGTCCCAGAAGACTACAGGACCATTCATGAAGCGCAGCGCTACTTGCGCATGCGCAGTTACCAGGCTGTGAAGCCGCAAGCTGTCACATCCTGGTGTCCACACTGAACATGCTGGTCTCAAGTCTTTGGTCGTCGTGCATGAACTGCACTTTGGGATCTCCCCAGAGCGGCTTGATGATATTAAAGCGGAGCTCCACCCAAAAGGGGAAGTTCAGCTTTAAGGACTGCTCCCTCGCTCCCCATTAACCCCTTCACGCCGGCACCTCCCGGCCCTTTAAGGGTTCCAGAAGCCAGGAGGCGGGGCGGGGTTTAGGGTCATGTGACGGGAAAGGTCCCGATCGAAAGAGGAGATCGGGACCTTTCCTTGAGTACCGGACATGTGTGCTGGGAGCGCGCAGGGCGCGCGCTCTAGGCACATGTCCTTTTTTAATAGAACGCAAATGTGCGTCTGCTCAGCGTCTAGGCCCAGACACCAGGAGGCCGCACAATTGTGTGCGGCTGGTGTGAAGAGTTTAAGGATTGGCACCTTTGGGGGGCGGGGGGGAGTGCGTACCTGAATTTGACAGGTACCCAATCCAACTTCCGGTCCGATCACCTAGGCGATCGGAAACGAAAGGTGTCCTCCCTCCCTGTAGTCTTGTGGGACACGTGACAGGTCCCAGAAGACTACAGGACCATTAATGAAGTGCAGTGCTACTCGCGCATGCGCAGTGGGTACCCGGCTGTGATGCTGGAATCCAGGATGGCTGGTGAAACGGGCTGCGGGGGACACACCGCAGGACCGAGGGACAGGTAAGTGGCTGTTTTTTTAATAGTCAGCAGCTACAGTTTTTTGTAGCTGCTGACTTTTATTTATTGACAGCGTGAATGGAACTCCGCTTTACGGTCTGGAGACTGTGATGGCCACTCCAGAACCTTCACCTTTTTCTACTGTAACCATTGGAGGGTCAGCTTGGCCTTGGACTTAGGTCATTGTCGTGTTGGAAAGTTCAAGAGCGTCTCATGCGCGGCTCTCTTGTAGAAGATTGCAAATTGTGTGCCAGTATTTCTGATAAATTGCTGCATTCAGCTTGACATTAACCCCTCCCCCTCCAGAGGATTTACTCCCCTTCCTGACCAGGCCATTTTTTGCGATACGACACTGCATTACTTTAACTGACAATTGCGCGGTCATGCATGCAAAAACTTTTTCCCCAAAAAAAGAGCTTTCTTTCGGTCGTATTTGATCACCTGTGCCTTTTTTATGTTTTGCGCTATAAAGAAAAAAAAACCCCAACAATTTTAAAAAACCCCTCAATATTTTTGACTTTTTGCTATAAAACATATCCAATAAAAAATTTTAAAAAATCAAATTTTGTCACAAATTTAGGACAAAATTAGGGATGCATCGAAATTTCGGTGGCCGAAACATTTTGGCTGAAAACACCCCTTTCGGCCGTTAGCTGAAATGAAAATAAGCACCAATACAGGTGCAGAAAAAACTCCACCCTTTGCCGCCGCCCGCCGGTGCCGCCACCACTCAGTAGTTCTCAGCCTTATCTGAGAAACCATCGAACAATCCCGACGCTGGACATAGCGATGAGTGAAGGAAAGATGGCCGCCAC